TACATAAAATACAATCCCAGCACCACGACAGAGAAAACAATCACACACAACAATTGACAAACACAACGAGAACTTATAGGACACTAATTACACTAAACGATAACAGGTGTAACAACAATCAGACAAAAGCAAACGAACATAGAAACATGCAACGGTGGCAGCTAGTATTCCGGAGACGACGAACGCCGAAGCCTGCCCGAGCAAGGAAGAGAGGCAGCCTCGGCCGAAACCGTGACACAAATGCTGATGTAAAAAGGGCTTTATAAAATAAGTTTGATTGATTTGATCTTTAAAGGATAGCTACATTTGCTATAAATGAACTGGTATTTTATTTACCTAACAAACGTACTGCTGTTAATGTATGCGCAACGTAAAGGAAGACAAACTAGCTAGTTGCCGCACACGCGCCGATGCTGTCCCTCTCGGAACATGCGTGACTGGCTAGCTAGTAACAGAAGCTGAAATTGATCGGGAATGCCCACTCTCCGTTGGGAAAGGAAGCACAAGGTGACTGCTGTAGCCGAGGAGTCGGAAATGGCGGCGAGTAGTGAAGGACGAAAGGGAGGAAATGGATAAAAAGTTGGTGAAGCAACAGCTGAACTGGAATGCGAACAATATGGGTGTCAGTTCTGATGGTATGGAGCGGGAGGATGAGGGTCAAGGACCAGAATGTTCGGTAGTGGAAAGACACAGGAAGAAGAGAGATCATGATACAGAAAGACACAGGAAGAAGAGAGATCATGATACAGAAAGACACAGGAAGAAGAGAGATCATGATACAGAAAGACACAGGAAGAAGAGAGATCATGATACAGAAAGACACAGGAAGAAGAGAGTTCATTAAACCGGAAAACACATGAAGAAGAGAGATCAAGATACAGAAAGACACAGGAAGAAGAGAGATCATGATACAGAAAGACACAGGAAGAAGAGAGATCATGATACAGAAAGACACAGGAAGAAGAGAGATCATGAAACAGAAAGACACAGGAAGAAGAGAGATCATGATACAGAAAGACACAGGAAGAAGAGAGATCATGATACAGAAAGACACAGGAAGAAGAGAGATCATGATACAGAAAGCAGTGGAGCGTCTAGTATAGAAAGCATAAAGAGTGGAAAGTGGTGATGGTGTTTGATGAGTCCACAGGGCCTCACTTACACCCTGTCCGACTAACTAATGCCGTAGAGAAAGAGGTAGGTGAAGTGAAATTAGCTCGGTTCATTGGAAATGGTAGATTGTTAATATTTTGTGGTAGCCAGGCCCAGCAAGAGAATATTCTGAAAATGGAAAAGCTTCATGGGGAGAAGATTAAAAGCCATGTCCTTGGTCCCAATATCTATGTCCACAGATGATATTAAAGACAGTGTAAAGGGAGGAAGAGGGATCGAGTCCAAAAGGTTGATCAGTAGGAAAGAAGGTTGAAGAAGTGAAAGCTTATCAGTCCTGCTGAGGCTTGAGAAGGTTATGCCTGGGAAAGGTACAGATAGGATTCCTTAGCCCCAAAGTCAGAGAATTTGTCCCACCCCCATTGCGGTGTTTTAAAAGCCAAAGAATGGGACATGTAGCTGTTCAATGTAAAGGAATGAAAAGATGTGCCAAGTGTGGAGGGGAACATGATTATGGTGAATGTGGGAACAATGTGAAGGTTAAGTGTTGTAATTGTGGGGGGGGGGGGGGGGGGGGGGACAGTGCAGCGTTTGGTGGATGCCAGGTACAGAGAGAGGCTAGAGAGTCTCAGAGATATAGAATGAGTCATGATGTATCGTATGCAGAGATTGTGTGTGTGATTGATTGATGGAATGATGGAGCTTCCATGGCTGCTCCTGTACGAAGTGGACCTAATGTCGGGGCTGGTGTTTCTGCTGGTCCTGTAGTAAGTGGACCTAATGTCGGGGCTGGTGTTTCTGCTGGTCCTGTAGTAAGTGGACCTAATGTCGGGGCTGGTGTTTCTGCTGGTCCTGTAGTAAGTGGACCTAATGTCGGGGCTGGTGTTTCTGCTGGTCCTGTAGTAAGTGGACCTAATGTCGGGGCTGGTGTTTCTGCTGGTCCTGTAGTAAGTGGACCTAATGTCGGGGCTGGTGTTTCTGCTGCTCCTGTAGTAAGTGGACCTAATGTCGGGGCTGGTGTTTCTGCTGGTCCTGTAGTAAGTGGACCTAATGTCAGGGCTGGTGTTTCTGCTGCTCCTGTAGTAAGTGGACCTAATGTCGGGGCTGGTGTTTCTGCTGCTCCTGTAGTAAGTGGACCTAATGTCGGGGCTGGTGTTTCTGCTGCTCCTGTAGTAAGTGGACCTAATGTCGGGGCTGGTGTTTCTGCTGGTCCTGTAGTAAGTGGACCTAATGTCGGGGCTGGTGTTTCTGCTGCTCCTGTAGTAAGTGGACCTAATGTCGGGGCTGGTGTTTCTGCTGGTCCTGTAGTAAGTGGACCTAATGTCAGGGCTGGTGTTTCTGCTGCTCCTGTAGTAAGTGGACCTAATGTCGGGGCTGGTGTTTCTGCTGCTCCTGTAGTAAGTGGACCTAATGTCAGGGATGGTGCTTCTGCTGGTCCTGGCATGGTTTGGAGGCCTGTTCACAAATCTTTGATAATAAATAAAGTTGACTTCATAGTTTTTATTGGTAAGGTTATCAACACGACTCGGGTTGTGGAAAGCAGAAATGCCAGGTTGAAGGTTATTGTGGAGACTGCAAAAGAGATATTGGGGGTAACAGATTTTACTGTTGAAATGGTTGTTGACATGCTAAACAATCCTAAGGGTGGAGTGTTTCAGCATGACATAGATCAAGTTTAACGGGGGAGGTGGGTTTTGGGGGAGGGTGTGGTAGAAGTTGGTAGGGATTTATTAGGTTTTTATTTTATTTTCATGGTAGTACAGAATTGGGAGAAACCTGATCGATCGTACATTCCAGCACAGTAGGCGGCGGCATGCACTTAAAACGATTGTTTGCGGACCGTTATGACATCATAGAAGAAGAAGAAGACTCGCTAATCTTGCTAATTTTAATTTCTTAGATTCGCTTGTGTAGCTGCCTTACCAGTGATGAGAACTGTTTTGCCATCCAGTCTTTTCAAGTCCGTGCAATACCTCCTCTTTTTCATCCATTTCAAAAACAAAAAGGAAACTAATGAAGCGATAATCGTCTACCAAACATACATTTCAGTAAACTACATTAGCTGGTTAGCGACATAAATGGACTGAAAACGGTCTAGCATTCTGTTCGGAGACATCATCATGCACGACGAGAAATCCATGACTCGTTTTAGCGACAGCCAATAACGAAATCCCAACCAAATAATAATAGAAAACGGCTAAAATAACTTATTTCAATATATCTTGAGAGCCAACAGGCTAACCTGCTAGTTTACAGGGGCTGTAAAATGTGCAATTGCGCATGCGTGGAAACCGTGCCCTTTCGCTTATTAGCACGAGACCGTTGAAAGCGCTACAATGTTGCAGGAAAAACGTATAAAGTTATCGAACTGTAATTCGAAGGCTATTTAATCTATTTAAATATGACTTATATTTACCTTTTTTGCAACCTTTTATTCTCTAAAATAACAACAAGTTACACTGCAGCGCGATACACTTCTCTACTAGAAGTAAACATGTGTCAGTGCCATATTCTGTTAAAGAATAACAGTGCGTGACACACTTGCCTGGAGCCAAATATTAATTATCGGAAAGACCTTTGTTACTTTCAGAACACCGCAAATGCAGGTCTTTCTGAATGCCACATCGTCATAACAGTGTGCTGATAAAAATGAATAGACAGGGAAAGTATGTAGAACAGCTGTCTACTATGAGGTTTAAGTGGAGACAGAGCGTCTTGCTCTTAGCAGTGATACTTGGATGCATTTCCGAAATAACTGGTAAGTTACCATTCTTCAAGTTAAATATGTATATAAAAGTTTAAGAAGAAATTTAATTCTGTCAAGTAGATACATTATTACTGGGTTAAAAGCTCTTAACACGCAAGTACAGAGTCCCAACAAAACTTGATTGTCAATAACAGTTGTGAACGTGAGATTGACGAATGTATTTCTAAACAGTAGATTCATTACCAGAGAACTATACGTATTAATGTTCAGGAGATAACATAACTACTTCTTGAACAGTATCAGATAGGGCTAATCGATTTGATTGTCCTACTATTGTATTATTTTGCATATGAAAACTGCTTATAAATATTTACTTGGCCTAGTGTTTATTTTCCATTAAAATCCCTTTTATTAATTTTTTTACATACTGTAGGCTACTGCATATAATTAACTAGTACACAAACATATTATTTATAATGACCTGAAAATATACTGAACAAAAATATACGCAAGGAAGGATAAACGCAACTGTAAATAAACGCAACATGCAACAATTTCAAAGAATTTGCTGAGTTAAAGTTCATATGAGGAACTCAGTCAGTTGAAATAAATTCATTAGGCCCTAATCTATGGATTTCACATGACTGGGAATACAGATATGCATCTGTTGATCACAGATACCTTTTAAAAAATGGCCCTCACAATGGGCCTCAGGATCTCGTCACAATATTTCTGTGCATTCAAATTGCCACCGATAAAATGCAATTGTGTTCGTTCTCCATAGCTTATGCCTGCCCATACCATAACTCCACCGCCACCATGGCACACTCTGTTCACAACGTTGACATCAGCAAACCCCTCTCCCACACAACTCCATACACGTGTTCTGCGGTTGTGAGGCCAGTTGGACCTACTGCCAAATTCTCTAAAATGACGTTGGAGGCGGCTTATGGTAGAGAAATTAACATTAAATTCTCTGGCAACAGCTCTGGTGGACATTCCAATTGCACGCTCCCTCTATTTGAGACATCTGTGGCATTGTTGTGTGACAAAACTGCACATTTTAGAGTGGCCTTTTATTGTCCCCAGCACAAGGTGCACCTGTTTTAATGATCATGCTGTTTAAGTTGAGGAGAGACTGACTGCATCACTTCTTCATTTTATAAGAAACATTAATGTGTTGAAAATCCCAAATTGTTTGCATAGTCAACTTACACACAGCTCTGACACACCCACTTACCCCACCAGACATGCCACCAGGGGTCTTTTCACAGTCCCCAAATCCAGAACAAATTCAAGAAAGCGTACAGTATTATATAGAGCCATTATTGCATGGAACTCCGTTCCATCTCATATTGCTCAAATAAAGAGCAAACCTGGTTTCAAAAAGCAGGTAAAGCAACACCTCACGTCACAACGCCTCTCCCCTATTTGACCTAGGTAGTTTGTGTGTATGTATTGATATGTAGGCTACGTGTGCCTTTAAAATGTATGTAGTTTCTTTCCTTGAGCTGTTCTTGTCTATTCATGTTCTCTATTATGTCATTTTTCATGTTTTGTGTGGACCCCAGGAAGAGTAGCTGCTGCTTTTGCAACAGCTAATGGGGATCCTAATAAAATACCAAATCAGCTTCTTGATATGCCACACCTGTCAGGTGGATGGATTATCTTGGCAAAGGAGAACTGCTCACTAACAGGGATGTAAACAAATTAATGCACAACATTTTATAGAAATAAGCTTTTTGTGCGTCCGGAAAATTTCTGGGATCTTTTATTTCAGCTCATGAAACACTTTACATGTTGTGTTTATATTTTTGTTCAGTGTAGTTTATACATTTCATTTGCTTATAAGAAATCACGCAGCTGACCAAATTACGTGAAATTTTAGTTCTGTGTTAACCGAGATTAATACGATTCAGATACCAACTACTGTAATTGTTACCATAGTATTGTATGTTAAAAAAACAAACAAGTTAAAACAAAATAGTTATCTTTTGAGTAAGATAAGAAGATGTATCTTTCTTCAGGTCAATCATGTGAGGGACAGTGTGGTGAAACATGGGAGACGTGTTCATGCCATGCTACATGTGTGTCCCTACTGAGCTGCTGTGGAGATTACAGGCAGTACTGTCTCCAGATCTCCCCGTACTCAGGGACCATGATGGGTGGAAGTGTCTTCTCTATTCTCAATGCCACCTTCTATCCAAGCAAGCAAGAGCAGCTCACCTGCAGGTAGGTGTGGGTCACGCACACACACACACACACACACACACACATTCTCTCTTACACAACAACAGAGCGGTCTGGTCATGAGATAACTGTGGGAGGTAAACATCTATGTAGCGTCTAGCTGTAGTGACCTTTGTAACACATATTGACACGTTTGAGATATGTCATGGGTTAACCCTGGACTATCATGGGTTAACCCTGGGCTCTTAAATCCTTAACTCAACTCTGTGGTTGGACCCTATAAAGTCAATATCTTGAAAGATACCAATTAGTTTAGTGTGTAAACAGCTTATCCTACCCAACTCCTAACTGTAACCGTTAGTATGAAGTGACAACTGACCTTACTTTAAATCAGTTTCTACCAGGGGGAACCTCATCCTTCCTTACTGTAAATCAGTTTCTACCAGGGGCAACATCATCCTTCCTTACTGTAAATCAGTTTCTACCAGGAGCAACCTCATCTTTCCTTACTGTAAATCAGTTTCTACCAGGGGGAACCTCATCCTTCCTTACTGTAAATCAGTTTCTACCAGGGGCAACATCATCCTTCCTTACTGTAAATCAGTTTCTACCAGGAGCAACCTCATCTTTCCTTACTGTAAATCAGTTTCTACCATGGGCAACCTCATCCTCCTTTACTGTAAATCAGTTTCTACCATGGGCAACCTCATCCTTCTTTACTGTAAATCAGTTTCTACCAGGGGCAACCTCATCCTTCCTTACTGTAAATCAGTTTCTACCAGGGGCAACTTCATCCTTCCTTACTGTAAATCAGTTTCTTTCCAGGGGCAACCTCATCCTTCCTTACTGTAAATCAGTTTCTACCAGGGGCAACCTCACCTTCCTTACTGTAAATCAGTTTCTTCCAGGGGCAACTTCATCCCTTCCTTACTGTAAATCAGTTTCTACCATGGGAAACTTCATCCCTTCCTTACTGTAAATCAGTTTCTACCAGGAGCAACCTCATCTTTCCTTACTGTAAATCAGTTTCTACCATGGGCAACCTCATCCTTCTTTACTGTAAATCAGTTTCTACCATGGGCAACCTCATCCTTCTTTACTGTAAATCAGTTTCTACCAGGGGCAACTTCATCCTTCCTTACTGTAAATCAGTTTCTTTCCAGGGGCAACCTCACCTTCCTTACTGTAAATCAGTTTCTACCATGGGCAACCTGTTAAGTGAATTATTTAACAAACTATTTTAGTGTCTCTGTGCGTCTCCCAAAAGGTTGTAAGTCTTTTGGGATTTAAGTAACGCCCAGAGTCCCGGTCTGCATGGTCAGAGATATTTATTCATTGAGAATTCTGCCATCACAATTTCAGAGTCCATCTTTTATACTCATACGTCATACAAAAAGAAATCCCTTCCCTCTGTAGGCGGGCTGTAGTTTTCCACTCTAAAACTGCTCTACTGACCTTCAGTTCACACACACACACATATACACACATGCATACACACATACATACACACACACACACACACATATCCTACTCCCTGCTTTACTCAGTTATTGCCGTTCTCACAATATTCTGCACCATGTTTTCATAAGTTTCTCCCCTCCCTAAATTGGGAGGCCTCTTTATCTTAGTTTCTCAGTTGTCTTTGTTGTCTGGCCTGACTCTTACTCACATTGCTAAATAATGGCTCAATGCCATAGCCTTTACTGGTCCTACACTCACACATTATACACAGTTTCAGGGTGTAATAATTAGTCATTAATAATTAATCTATCAATTCCACCCTTTGACTAAATATTACACACATACAAAATATATGTTGTTATAGAAATGAATCACACTCATTGAAGTATATAAGTTGGTTTGCATATTAAAACATTACAGGTTCATCAGGGTTACCCCATGATTAAAAGCATAACGTTACTTTTTAGCAATGGTAACTAGTACATCATACTTAAAACGAGACTTTAATACACAAAAGATCATTACAATAACTTTTAAACTAGAGATTTATAGTTCTAGGAAAACATCCAGTCTCAAATTATCTGGATCGTCGTCGTCCTCCACCAAGCCTGGTAGGTCATATCCTTCAGTCGGAGTCCGGGATTGGGCCGTATCTCACCATCTGTTGGGAAACTGCCTTGCTCACCAACCCTCAGACACAGGGAATAAGACAACATCCACAAAGAACAAGTATACTCATAGAAGCTATAACTTCACCCAGAATAGTTACAACAATAGTTTTCCATTTACCAAATATGTTATCAAACTAACCGTTTAGGGAGCTATCAATACCAGAGTTCTCAGCCAGTTCGTTCGCCAGCGTGGTGAGTCCCTGAAGCGCTTTGGTCACGGACCCGTCCGGTGCTGTATTGTTTGGGGATGAAAGTACAGCACATAGATCCAAACAGAACACAAACCCCGTCCCGCTCAGCCAAAAGCATATCTAAAGCTGTTCTATTCTGCCATGTCATTAAGCTAGTTGCCGCTGTCTGCTCAGCTAATCCCTTTATTGCATCACAAGTGTGGTTTATAAATCTTTGCTGGTTATAGTAAACATAATTCATCCAATCTACGTTTTTATTAATTGTTGACCACCAGAAAATACTTGATTCAAACCCAGCTGCGATCTGATTCCTAGCTTTGAATTGTTCTGGAACCCCTCGAGGTACTCCTATCCCATCAATATATATATATCCTTTCATCAAAGGATCCCGGGAGGAGGTTCTACTTTCTACGTGACAACTCACCAGTCTCTGACACGTTTGATTGTTTGCGTATGTAGGTGAGTTCACAATCAGTTATCACCACACAACCATCAGATGTCAATACGGGCCTGGTTTTGGTTCCTAAAATCCTCTGGCTGCAACAAAGAGGAGAGATTAGTCATGGTCTCTTTAGGTGTGACATTCTCTGTGTGGGAGCAGGAGCTAAGATGCCTTACCCTGTATCCTATCTTATTAGTCATAGAAAAACAATAAGAATCCCCTGTGACTTCAAACTGAGGCAACCCAGGTCGGGATGACTTTGTTATGGGGGGTACAGATAGTGCAAGTTACTACAAGACTCTTTCACCACATTCCCAGGTGGCTTGCATGGAACCTGACAGAGAGTTAAAGCCTGTCAAGGGGAACGGAGTAGTTGTTAACCTTGGTTTGGCTGTCCTACAGGCATAACAGTCCTCTTTAGACTGTATACTGAATCCATTCCAACCACAGGTTAAAATCTATTTACTCCGTCTCCATCTGTACTACTTCCTTCAGGTCTATAGTTTGCACTGTCTCACTACCTCCCTCAGAGAGGTTTACTCTATAGGGTGCCCCAGTTGAAGAAGATATCTCACTTGTCAGGTCTGTAATCTGTTTTAGCATAATTCAGACTTTCAGACAGTACCTACCCTCATATGGGTCGCACTGCCATTTCTGATAATTCCCTACTTTCACAATACTACACCTGTCCCTAAACTGTGTATGGAGATTGACATATCCCCCCCCCCGCTTGGTATAAGCAACTACATAGTCCCAGGATGTACATGGTGACATACATATGGTGATGTCCTTCCCTAAAGTCCCTAGTATTTCCCCTTTCCCTACGTCTAGCTGTCTCCTATGCCTTTTCAACTTGTGTTAGGTTAACTACCACTTCTGGCTGAAACAGGAGGGTCCATGTGTGTTAGGAATATGGCCCCCACAATCAGACAGCTACCTACCGTCGGGAGACCTGTGAATCCCCACCCTTGCCCTGAGAACATGTCAGATGCCAGAGGCCAACCCATTGCTTCACCTTCTACCGAACTCACACAGGGATGATCAGACAGGGTAAGGGAATCTTCGTTAAGGAGCCAACCCCCGGACCCTTGTGGTTATCGGATCTTTCTCCTAACTCTGTGTTTGTTCGTCAGGTGTAGCTGGTTTTGCCTTTTTACAGTGTGTGACATGCACCCAGATGGATCTCTCAGCTGTTCTGCTGGCAAAGGCAGTACTTGGTAGGGCCCTTCCCGCCAGGCCTGCTTCAGTCTCCTGGTTAGATAGAGTGGGTCACCTTCTCCTTTAATTCACCTGTGGGGGCACAAAACCTCTGACATACAGGTGTGGTTAATAAACGACCTTCTCACGTGTTCTGCTAGGGTGCTCTCTAGTTCTATGTCTGCCTGTCTGGTTCTGCCAACTGTGGCATTCTGTAAGGTCTTCCAAACACTTTCTCAAAGGGGGATAACCCATTTTATCTGGGGTTACTCTAAATTTCTTCCCTTCACTCCGTGATAACACTATAAAATCCATTTCCAATTGCTGGAAAGGGTACTTAGCCGGAGGATACTCACCCTGAGGTGCCCTTTGTCTGCCCTGGTGATTAGTTTGAGCACAGATAACACATATTTTTAAAAAAAAATAATTAGTAATCCCATGTGCAACAAAGTGTTGTCTAATCTGTTCTACCATCCATCCCTCCTTTTGACACATGTCACTGCCCATGTGTCAATATTATCACCTACCTAACAATCACTTAGGTAATATTGGTAATTTATCATCCAATTGCCATCCCTTATTTTTATTTATTGGTAAAATAAACTATCTTTAAGTCCTCCTCTCATGCCTTTAGAATTTACCAGTGTGGATGATTAATTAACACCAGAAAGTTAAAACAGAGTTCAGAGGCAATTGAAATTCCATCCCATAGTATACCAAACATTACCATTATTCTAAATATTTAATAAATGTTACTTATCCCAAGTGTTCATTAATCCTCATGACATTCATTCTCATAAGAAATCATATATACCCCAAACTCAGCAAAAACCTAAAAAACTCCATAAAATTCACTGTGTGCTCCTCTAAGACCTATCACCCTTGACCTGCTGAAAACCCCCCAAAATTGAAACAACAAGGCTTTATAAACATCATACTAGGTGTGTTGTTTTTTATTTGAAAACCCCAATTAAAAAACAACAACCAAACAGCCAGGTCATGAGGACTCCTGATTTCTCTCTTCCCCTTCTGCCTACAGTTTCTTAACTGGTGCCCTTTCCTTGCACAGTAACTACACGGTTCCTCACATTCTCTAGCAAAATGTCCCGTTTTGTCACAATTGTAACACTTCCACTCACTCCTGTCTCCACTATTACCATTTCCTTCTTGTCTGTCTTTGCTACCGTAACCTCTCTTCTCTCCTAGCTATTGACTAATAGTCTCACTGTCTCTAATTCAACACAAAACCCCATCATCCAATGTACTCCCAGCAGAACTGGAAAAAAAACAAAACAGACTGTGATTTCCAGGACACTGCACCTTTGTTTCTGGCCTCACTATCTCCCCGGGAATTGGCCCTCCCTCAAGGTCCCTCCCAATCTGCTCTTGGTAAACTGCAAACCTTTTATTGCTTCTGGTTTCATAGGGTATTGCTTCTGATATAGCCTATGATTAGATTTGGGTATCACCTGTACTGGAATTACCCCTTTTATTAATCCTACGTCTGCTGGACCCTGGGACCACAAATGCTCTGGAACTTCTTTTAAGTCTGACTCCTGTTGTTCTGTCAACAGGTATTCCTCTCCTCAGCATCTGCTATTCTCATCTAAATGTACTATCTGTGGATGGGCTGTGTTGATCGCCACTCACAATATTGACCCAATCAGTGATCCTCTTGCCCTTGGATACCCACTGGCCCATGTCTTTCCAGTCCTCTGCTGGCTCCTTTGCTAGGGACACATGTGGGCTCCATATTTCCCTGAACAGTCTCTGACTTTGGGGCCCTATTTCCACCTCCACTACTGCGTGGGTGTTGTCATAGTAAAACCATTTCAAGGCTATAGTCCTTTCTGTGGTTTTAAACAGAGCTTCCTCATATTCTTTACTAGGGACAGAGTGTGTATTATACCACAGAGTACAATGTAAGTCATCCTCAGTCATTTTAGGTGAGTCAGGTACTAGGGTTTTAGTCAAGTCTACTAAGGTCTTTGGTATGTCTGAGTTACCTCCCCTCAACAGGTCCTGGCTATACCAATAACATGGTTCCCCTTCACCACTTACAACCATATTATCCTTTATCACATGAGCCTGCATTCCCCTCACTGTCGGTCTTACTTCTATGTTTAACTGCGTCATCTCATCTCTTCCCAATAGATTAACAGGACATTGTACTGAAATCAGTACAGGCAGAGTAGCTTCACTCCCTGTCTTTACATGTTTCAGTGTTACTGGTGCAGACAGCTGTTCAATACCTTTATGACCAGAGGCTGATCGCACTATAATTTTTTCTCCATTAATGTCAATTCCCTCTGGTGCATTATCTTTACAAATACAGGTTCGGTCTGCCCCAGTATCACAGAGAAATGTTATCTTTTTACCCATTACTGTCAATGTTAGGTATGGTTTCTGTTCCTGTTGTAATGCCAAATCTACAAGAGACAGATCAAACACCTCCAGTTCTCTCTCCTGCTTCTCCTTTTCTCTCCTGTCTGACTTTCTCTGCCCTTGTCCTGTACTTCCTCTATCTCTGGCTCTTCCTCACCTTCATCTTCCCTTCCTCCTCCAGCCCCTTCTTCCTCATAGGGAGGTGGGGCCGGTTGGGGGCAACATTATTCCCCTGCACTCTCCTTCTCCTCCCTACGTATTCATCATCTGGATTTTCTCTCCATGCCTGGTCTGCCAAGTTTGGATATAACCTTTCTGCCCTCTGCTCTGGGGGAGGCACGGAGACCTCAACCTTCACTTCTCTTTTCTTCCTGCCTTATCTCCTCTCTCTCCTAAGTTTCTAGTTCTACCCGCCATCTCTCCCAGAGTGGCAATTAGTTACTCTGCATCTTCCTCTTCTTTCTTGGCTCTGTCCTGTCTGTTATTCTGCTCATGATGGATTGCATGTCTCTCTGAGGCTATTACACAATTCAGTTATTTTCCCAACATACTCTCCGTAATCGGCCCATGGCAAAAGTGTCCTCTGGGCATCCCCTGAAACCCACTGCCCTCTAACGGCAGCCCAAACCTTACTATTCCTGTTTCGGGGTGGGTCATTCCTTCTACCGCTCTGGCCACGTCCTCTGTGTTCATGGCCTGTCTGCTAAATGGCATATTATTATTATTACTGTATACATCTAAGGTTGCTGGGGCCCCTTTCATTCCCCGCCAATAGATTAGGTAAGGCTATCAGTGGGTACTGGCCCCCCTCCTACTCTCTCTCTCTCTCACTGCTTATTTCTCCTTTACACACCTTATGTATCTGTTTAAGCATGGATTCGAGTTTATCTGCGTCTAGACGTCCCTCAAAACCATACCTCTCCCTCCACCTGGTTACATAATGGACATTTCTTCTATCCCTGGATTCCATTTTAATTACATCAAGTATTTCTCGTCCCCAGTAAATTCTGGGACCTCTTGTGAGGATTTGCCCCCCCCCCCATGGTTGGTACTGTTAAAAATCCCTTAGCCACCTCTTCTATATAACAAGTCAATTTAACAAGTAATTCAAAATAGCTTCACACAACAACACCTTGAATCACCCCTTCCTGTATATGTAATCTTGACTAGTCCCCCAGAATTATCTCATACTTTTACAGAGGGATTGATCCCCACAATGTAATCTTGATAATTCCTGACAGTCTCATACAACAGGAATGGGTTCTCCCTCCTCTATACAACCACCTCTCCCTGTATATGTAGTCTTGACTAGTCCCCCAGAATTATCTCATACTTTTACAGAGGGATTGATCCCCACAATGTAATCTTGATAATTCCTGACAGTCTCATACAACAGGAATGGGTTCTCCCTCCTCTATACAACCACCTGGAATTATTCATGTGACTTTTGAGCAAACATTAGGTCTCACACGTATACAACCTTACATGATTATTGGTGTTGTATCGGTAACCTGGAGTTTATAAGGCTCCAGAACGGATAGAGTTACAGCAAAATCTACAGTTGTTTGTGACTTTTGACTTAACTAATATTCTATTTCTCACACATGCTATTTTAATTCCTTCTGGTGTACTTTTTGTATTTGTTTAACCCGGATTATTTGTTGACTGCGCAATAATCTCTTACAGGTTACATCCCATAGGTGTACTTTTAATAGTTCCTTCTATTTCAACACCGGGTAGTTTCTTTTGGTAATGGCCTATTACCGTGAATCATTACGGACCCACCACCAGGTTGACTAGTCCCCCAGAATTATCTCATACTTTACGGAGGAGTCTATCCTCACAATGTGTAATCTTGATAATTCCTGACAGTCAACCCCACTTAAAATGGCTACGCATTGATCAATTTGCTACTTTTCAATATTTTAGCAAGTTCTCAAATCAATTTCACCAAGTAATGAATAAAGACTACTGACCTTATCCTTGCAGCCGAGATTCAATGTAGGTTTGGATTCCGTCACCGTCTCTGTCATTAATCAGGTGTCCTCTGGCCTGTTTTAACCCTTAATGTCAAAGGGCAGGACTTTCTATTTACGAATGTATCATTCGCCCGTCGACGGTTTTCAGAGTTACCTGGAATGACAGAAACAGGGTATTGGAGTCCGGCTCAGAAGGACCAAGCTGTTAAGTGAATTATTTAACAAACTATTTTAGTGTCTCTGTGCGTCTCCCAAAAGGTTGTAAGTCTTTTGGGATTTAAGTAACGCCCAGAGTCCCGGTCTGCATGGTCAGAGATATTTATTCATTGAGAATTCTGCCATCACAATTTCAGAGTCCATCTTTTATACTCATACGTCATACAAAAAGAAATCCCTTCCCTCTGTAGGCGGGCTGTAGTTTTCCACTCTAAAACTGCTCTACTGACCTTCAGTTCACACACACACACATATACACACATGCATACACACATACATACACACACACACACACACATATCCTACTCCCTGCTTTACTCAGTTATTGCCGTTCTCACAATATTCTGCACCATGTTTTCATAAGTTTCTCCCCTCCCTAAATTGGGAGGCCTCTTTATCTTAGTTTCTCAGTTGTCTTTGTTGTCTGGCCTGACTCTTACTCACATTGCTAAATAATGGCTCAATGCCATAGCCTTTACTGGTCCTACACTCACACATTATACACAGTTTCAGGGTGTAATAATTAGTCATTAATAATTAATCTATCACAACCTCATCCTTCCTTACTGTAAATCAGTTTCTACCAGGGGCAACCTCACCTTCCTTACTGTAAATCAGTTTCTTCCAGGGGAAACTTCATCCCTTCCTTACTGTATCTCTATATGTGTTGTTATGTTGTTGAATGCTAACGGTAACCATGTTGTTGTGTTGCAGGTTCAGGGGTGAGATAGAGGTAGTGGGTTACACTGACGGAGAAGGCAGGGCTTACTGTGTCTCCCCCTTACTGCTCCAGAGTGGATGGGTTCCCTTTGACGTCTCTACAGATGGCCGGAACTTCAACAGTTCTGGAGAATACCTGTCAGGTGAGAGTTCCAGTTTGAGAACACTACAGTTACAGTATATGTGTATACACAGTTTTTTATTTATTTTTTATAACTCTCGTTAATGTTTAGTAAATGCTGTCTAAAAAGATGGCCTCACTGTTGAGGATGAGATGTACACCGTAAACCAAAGTTCATTGCACTTGCCTGAAGCTTTATCAAGATAAGATTAAAGATAGGATAAGATATTAAGATAAGATGTAAATAACTCCAGAGAGCTTTGAAACGATGTTATTTCACATTATCTGCTACTCCCATGTGCAAGTTGTGTTGTGTTTCCTACATTTCCAAAGATGCATATTTCTCTTGTAGCTACAGAGTTACATTTACGTCATTTAGCAGACGCTCTTATCCAGAGCGACTTACAGTTAGTGAGTGCATACATTTTTCATACTGTTGCAACATAATATGATTTCCTCACACAGTTGCAATTGAATCATTTTCTCACACATTCTCTATTCTGCTCTCTCTATCAGTCCACCCAAGTAAAATGGACGCTGCATTTAAAGTGACACTGGTGAATTCAACACAGTGGCAATACTATGGCACCCCCAACACATCTGGAACACTGAGGATGACATGGAACCCTTCTCTGATTGGAGACAAGGACAGCGTCAACATAGAACTATGGGGCTACAGAGAGGTCAATACCACTACTGCTAATACTACACGGGAGGAAGAGTTGTCCCCCCTGAGGGCAGAATGGACCTACCTGTACTCTCTCGGTAGAGGCCTGGCCAACAGCGGCAGTTTCAGCTTCACCCCCAAGTCTTCCGAGAAGCCCTACTCTGACTGGGAGATGGGGAGTGTCAGAGTGAGCTCCAGTATCTACTCCGATGGAGCCAGGTATGGAATATGTACTGTACTGTACTGTACATGGAGAGACAGGTATGGAATATGTGCATGTACTGTACATGGAGAGACAGGTATGGAATATGTACTGTACATGGAGAGACAGGTATGGAATATGTGCATGTACTGTACTGTACATGGAGACAGGTATGGAATATGTGCATGTACTGTACTGTACATGGAGAGACAGGTATGGAATATGTGCATGTACTGTACTGTACATGGAGACAGGTATGGAATATGTGCATGTACTGTACATGGAGAGACAGGTATGGAATATGTGCATGTACTGTACATGGAGAGACAGGTATGGAATATGTGCATGTACTGTACATGGAGAGACAGGTATGGAATATGTGCATGTACTGTACTGTACATGGAGAGACAGGTATGGAATATGTACTGTACATGGAGAGACAGGTATGGAATATGTGCATGTACTGTACTGTACATGGAGAGACGGGTATGGAATATGTGCATGTACTGTACATGGCAGAGTACTTGCACCTGATTCAACTAATTAACTAATTATCCCAAAAGTCCTTGATGAGTTAAAACTGGGCTAGAGCAAAAATGTGCAGTCCTGGCACGCAACTAGAGAGGACAAACATAGGGACAAGGTAAGCGTTTCATAATGTAAATGTTTTGAAGTATTGACCTTGGGCGAATCGATGTAGTCGAAGCTGCATTACACAAAGCCTGGTCTCTGCTCAACTCCGTTGGTGGAGTTCATCAGAAATGTCCTTCACCATGGAGTTGAGTTTAGTCAGCTAACCAGCAGCCAGTGGCACTTGCCGCACTGATATCCAATTTGCGGGTGCTTTTTCAAAGCCTATGTCAGATACTCCAGTGAGTGTAATAATCTCAAATGAGTGCAATTTGCTCAATATTAAGAGTTTATAAATAAAGTTGACATCATTAGAAAAGAGGAGAATATCTTCTTTCAATGGTTGAATACCCCTGCTTTAGTGAACTATCCCTTTAAAAATGCAAAGTATGCCTCTCGACCTGTCCAGAAACATTAGGGCTGTGTGTTGTGGGGTCCATGCCCTGGCCTGATACCTTACTCAATCAGGACCCAGACTTCAGAGTCCTCTCTCACTAACTATATACCTGTAATTGTGCATAGATATACCGTCCCTGTGTATAAACCTTGTAACTGTGTCCAGGAACGTCAGAGCTGTGTGGAGTGGGGCCCATGCCTTGGCCTGGCACCTGGAGGAAGCCTTCAGGCAGGACTCCGCAGCCTGGGCCCTGGACAGGTGTCTGACCTGGGATGTCCTGGAGAAGAGCCTCCCTAACTTCCTGGAGGAGGTGATGGACTGTCCCTGTACCCTGGCCCAGGCCCGCGCAGACACCGGCAGGTTCCATGTAAGAACTCCTTGTTCTTTGAGGACCAATAACCCCTCAACCAAAGAGCACCTTCAAGCTAGGTTTTAGATGATCTGATAGTGTATCCTTGTAGCACTCCCCTTTAAAAGTGACTTTGTCTGATGTTTCAGACTGACTACGGCTGTGACATGGAGAAGGGGAGTGTGTGTACGTACCACCCTGGCTCTGTACACTGTGTCCGAGCTATACAGGCAAGGTAGGCGACACGGCCACCGTATCTCTTAAGTGTGGGAGGATTCAGAAGAAGTATTTATTTGACACCTACTGACAAGAAGTTATATTTTATCATAAAAATATATAACTTTCCTAAGTCAACAATTGGTATACCAAACAAACAGTAACAAACACCAGCTGTATCAATAACAGCCGATTCTCCCATCCCCAGCCCTATGTACAGAGCAGGACAGCAGTGTTGCTATGACAGCACGGGGGCCCAGGTTCTGACAGGGGACTCGATTGGAGGCAGCACCCCAGATCGGGCCCACGACTGGGGCTCCCCTCCCTACAGAGACCCCCCTCGGATCCCCAGCCTCTCCCACTGGATGTACGACGTCCTGACATTCTACTACTGCTGTCTGTGGTCTGACCACTGCCGGATCTACTTTACACACAGACCCTCCAGCGGATGTAGACAATACACACCACCTAGAGCTGGTGAGGAACTCATGGGTGTTTACAGTAGAATAGAATGCTGTTGGGCTGTTACAGAGCCATCTACTGTATATATAATGTAGTTGTGCTAAAAAGTGGTAAGACTTGGGGGAAAGTTTTGAGTACCGTAATTTTCGGACTACAAGCCGCGCCTTTTTTCCCATTTTTCGACCCTGCGGCTTATATAACGGTGCGGCTAATCTATGGATTTTTACAGCTAACGGCCACTAGAAGACCTCCTAAATCTATGGATTTTACAGGTTACAGTCCACCAACTTTAACTCTATGGGCTCTATGACCGGTCCGCGCCCTCCACCTTTAAGCGGCGGGCTCCAGCAGGAAAAGCTGGAGGCCGGGAAAAGAGTGAGACAGGTAGCGCGTAAAAGTGGAACCGAGAGTGGTACGAGAGACAGAACGAGAGACAGAACGAGAGCAAGACAGACAGACATTACGAGAGCGAGACAGTTTGTCTCTTTCCCGACAATCCCCTCTGTGCACGAACCCTTACATATGGTAATTAAACATTAAAACACCTGCGGATTATAGTCCAGTGCGGCTTATATATGTACACATTATTCAATATCATTCAATTTAGCTGCTGCGGCTTATACTCCGGTGCGCCTTATAGTGCGGAAAATACGGTACTTATCATAGTTTGGTCTCTCCCTGAGCCTCTTCTCTTGTAATGCTGTGTTGTCTCTACAACACAAACAAGTGCCAAACTGCTATTTCTCCCTGTAAAGATTCTTCTCCTATTTTTTCTCTTTCTCCACCTCCTAGGTGCAGTCCTAGGGGACCCTCATTTTATAACGTTTGACGGTGTGAGCTACACCTTCAATGGGAAAGGAGAGTACTACCTGGTTCTCTCGCCAGACAGAGGGCTCAGTGTTCAGGGCCGGACAGAGCAGGTTAAACTAGAGAATGGTGAGTTTGTTCTCCACTGGGAAAAGGGCCTGTCTGTTTTGTAGTGTACAGAGACAGAGAGGCCTACCACCCTGGCCTCCTCTCTCTAGGCTGTTTCTACCTCTGTCTCTGCCTCTCTGTCTCTCTATCTCTACCCTTCTGTCTCGGTCTCTACCTCTCTGTCTCTACCTCTCTGTCTCTACCTCTCTGTCTCTACCTCTCTGTCTCTGCCCCTCGGTATCTACCTCTCTGTCTCTACCTCTCTGTCTCTGCCCCTCGGTATCTACCTCTCTGTCTCTACCTCTCTGCCTCTACCTCTCTGCCTCTACCTCTCTGCCTCTCTACCTCTCTGCCTCTCTGTCTCTACCTCTCTGCCTCTCTGTCTCTACCTCTCTGCCTCTCTGTCTCTACCTCTCTGCCTCTCTGTCTCTACCTCTCTGTCTCTACCTCTCTGCCTCTACCTCTCTGCCTCTCTACCTCTTGCCTCTCTGTCTCTACCTCTCTGCCTCTCTGTCTCTACCTCTCTGCCTCTCTGTCTCTACCTCTCTGCCTCTCTCTCTACCTCTCTGCCTCTCTGTCTCTACCTCTGCCTCTCTGTCTCTACCTCTCTGCCTCTCTCTCTACCTCTCTGTCTCTACCTCTCTGTCTCTCTGTCTCTCTGTCTCTACCTCTCTGTCTCTGTCTCTACCTCTCTGCCTCTACCTCTCTGTCTCTCTGTCTCTACCTCTCTGCCTCTCTGTCTCTACCTCTCTGCCTCTCTCTCTACCTCTCTGTCTCTACCTCTCTGTCTCTACCTCTCTGTCTCTACCTCTCTGTCTCTGTCTCTACCTCTCTGTCTCTACCTCTCTGTCTCTACCTCTCTGTCTCTACCTCTCTGTCTCTACCTCTCTACCTCTCTGTCTCTCTGTCTCTACCTCTCTGTCTCTGTCTCTACCTCTCTGTCTCTACCTCTCTGTCTCTCTGTCTCTACCTCTCTGTCTCTACCTCTCTGTCTCTGTCTCAGTCTCTACCTCTCTGTCTCTGTCTCTACCTCTCTGTCTCTCTCTCTCTCTCTCTCTCTGTCTCTGTCTCTCTACCTCTCTGTCTCTGCCTCTGTCTCTGCCTCTGTCTCTACCTCTCTGTCTCTACCTCTCTCTGTCTCTGCCTCTGTCTCAACCTCTCTCTCTATACCTCTCTCTCTCTACCTCTCTGTCTCTACCTCTCTCTGTCTCTACCTCTCTCTGTCTCTACCTCCTTCTCTGCATCTGTCTGTCTGCCTCTACCTCTCTGCCTCTCTGCCTCTCTGCCTCTACCTCTCTGCCTCTACCTCTCTGCCTCTCTGCCTCTACCTCTCTGCCTCTACCTCTCTGCCTCTACCTCTCTGCCTCTCTGCCTCTACCTCTCTGCCTCTACCTCTCTGCCTCTACCTCTCTGTCTCTACCTCTCTGTCTCTACCTCTCTGCCTCTACCTCTCTGCCTCTGCCTCTCTGCCTCTACCTCTCTGCCTCTCTGCCTCTGCCTCTCTGCCTCTACCTCTCTGCCTCTACCTCTCTGCCTCTCCCTCTCTGCCTCTACCTCTCTGTCAAATCAAATCAAATCAAATCAAATCAAATGTTATTGGTCACATGCGCCGAATACAACAGGTGCAGACATTACAGTGAAATGCTTACTTACAGCCCTTAACCAACAGTGCATTTATTTTAAACAAAAAAAGTAAGAATAAAACAACAACAAAAAAAGTGTTGAGAAAAAAAGAGCAGAAGTAAAATAAAGTGACAGTAGGGAGGCTATATATACAGGGGGGTACCGTTGCAGAGTCAATGTGCGGGGGCACCGGCTAGTTGATGTAGTTGAGGTAATATGTACATGTGGGTAGAGTTAAAGTGACTATGCATAAATACTTAACAGAGTAGCAGCAGCGTAAAAAGGATGGGGTGGGGGGGCAGTGCAAATAGTCCGGGTAGCCATGATTAGCTGTTCAGGAGTCTTATGGCTTGGGGGTAGAAGCTGTTGAGAATTCTTTTGGACCTAGACTTGGCACTCCGGTACCGCTTGCCGTGCGGTAGCAGAGAGAACAGTCTATGACTCGGGTGGCTGGAGTCTTTGACAATTTTGAGGGCCTTCCTCTGACACCGCCTGGTATAGAGGTCCTGGATGGCAGGGAGCTTTGCCCCAGTGATGTACTGGGCCGTACGCACTACCCTCTGTAGTGCCTTGCGGTCAGAGGCCAAGCAGTTGCCATACCAGGCGGTGATGCAACCAGTCAGGATGCTCTCGATGGAGGAGGACCCATGCCAAATCTTTTTAGTCTCCTGAGGGGGAATAGGCTTTGTCGTGCCCTCTTCACGACTGTCTTGGTGTGTTTGGACCATGATAGTTCGTTGGTGATGTGGACACCAAGGAACTTGAAGCTCTCAACCTGTTCCACTACAGCCCCGTCGATGAGAATGGGGGCGTGCTCAGTCCTCTTTTTTTTCCTGTAGTCCACAATCATCTCCTTTGTCTTGGTCACGTTGAGGGAGAGGTTGTTGTCCTGGCACCACACGGCCAGATCTCTGACCTCCTCCCTATAGGCTGTCTCATCGTTGTCGGTGATCAGGCCTACCACTGTTGTGTCGTCGGCAAACTTAATGATGGTGTTGGAGTCGTGCTTGGCCATGCAGTCATGGGTGAACAGAGAGTACAGGAGGGGACTGAGCACGCACCCCTGAGGGGCCCCCGTGTTGAGGATCAGTGTGGCAGATGTGTTGTTACCTACCCTTACCACCTGGGGGCGGCCCGTCAGGAAGTCCAGGATCCAGTTGCAGAGGGAGGTGTTTAGTCCCAGGATCCTTAGCTTAGTGAGGCAGAGACCTCTGCCTCTACCTCTCTGCCTCTCTGCCTCTACCTCTCTGCCTCTGCCTCTCTGCCTCTCTGCCGCTCTGCCTCTACCTCTCTGCCTCTCTGTCTCTACCTCTCTGCCTCTATCTCTATGCCTCTCTCTCTGTCTCTACCTCTCTGCCTCTAACTCTATGCCTCTGTCTCTGCCTCTCTGGGTCTACCTCTCTGCCTCTAACTCTATGCCTCGGTCTCTGCCTCTCTGGCGCTACCTCTCTGCCCCTGTCTCTGTTTCTCTGTCTCTGCCTCTACCTCTATGCCTCGGTCTCTGTCCCTCTGTCTCTACCTCTCTGTCTCTACCTCTCTGCCACTCTGTCTCTACCTCTATGCCTCGGTCTCTGTCTCTCTGTCTCTGCCTCTCTGTCTCTGTCTCTACCTCTGTCTCTGTCTCTACCTCTCTGCCTCAGTCTCTACCTCTCTGTCTCTGCCTCTCTGTTTCTGCCTCTGTCTCTACCTCTCTGCCTCTAACTCTATGCCTCTCGGTCTCTGCCTCTCTGGCTCTACCTCTCTGCCTCTAACTCTATGCCTCGGTCTCTGCCTCTCTGGCTCTACCTCTCTGCCTCTAACTCTATGCCTCAGTCTCTGCCTCTCGGTCTCTGGCTCTACCTCTCTGCCCCTGTCTCTGTTTCTCTGTCTCTGCCTCTACCTCTCTGCCTCTATGCCTCGGTCTCTGTCTCTCTGTCTCTACCTCTCTGTCTCTCTGTCTCTACCTCTCTACCTCTCTGTCTCTCTGTCTCTACCTCTCTGCCTCTAACTCTATGCCTCGGTCTCTGCCTCTCTCTCTCTACCTCTCTGCCTCTGTGTCAGCTTCTATTTGTTTGGCTGCTCAGGGATTCAGGCTCGTCTCGATTCTGTAATAGTTAGGCGGTTTGCAGAGCGAAGCGGTCTGGTCTTGAGATACTTGTGGGAGTGAAAACATTTTGGAGCTGTAAAAAGACATCTTATTTCAACAACTTGTTTCCTCTTGTTCTCTCCCAATCTCTCTGGGTCAATCTGACTCTAGAACAGCTGTTATGAAGAGAACAGTGGTTAGGAGCTCCTCCAAACCCATTACTTTACATAAAGCAGATCTGAAGCCAAATCAGTGAAGATGGCCAAATGTCAGTGGTAGGGCTCATACCCAAAACGTGTGTGAGGCAATACAAATATGTCAATGTAAATGTATTTACCGGAGTGCTGCCCTATTTCTGGTCATTGGATTATTTACCAGGATCCAGCACCCGATTTTTAAGTTTTCTAAAAGATGGAGTCGACCACGTTGTTTATCTTTTCAGATGTCAGTGGTATTCAGCTCATCATTTCTGACGGATCAATAGAACGTCTGGATACGGGCTGATGTTGCCAAGAGCTTTCAATTTAAGATTATATTATACACTGAGTGTACAAAACATTAGGAACACCTTCCTAATATTGAGTTGCACCACCTTTTGCCCTCAGAACAGCCTCAATTTGTCGGGGCATGGACTCTACAAGGTGTTGAAAGCGTTCCACAGGGATGCTGGCCCATGTTGACTCCAATGCTTTCCACAGTTGTGTCAAGTTGGCTGGATGTCCTTTGGGTGGTGGACCATTCTTGATACACACGGGAAACTGTTGAGCGTGAAAAACCCAGCAGCGTTGCAGTTCTTGACACACTCAAACCGGTGCACCTGGCACCTACTACCATAACCCGTTCAGTCACTTAAATCTTTTGTCTTGCCCATTCGACCCTCTGAATGGAACACATACACAATCCATTGTCTCAAGGCTTAAAAATCCTTCTTTAACCTGTCTCCTCCCCTTCATCTACACTGATTGAAGTGGATTTTAAGAAGTGACATCAATAAGGGATCATAGTTTTCATCTGGATTCACCTCTGCAGTCTATGTCATGGAAAGAGCATTCCTAATGTTTTGTACACTCAGTGTATCTTATGTATATTTGAGGCTATGCGTATGAAGTCGAATCCTCTACATTAATTACAGCTTATGTTAAAGTGTGTCCGCACTTTAGGCCTACAGTAATTAAGCATTCAAACAAGTGTCAAGTTGGCACTGAAACCTTAGCCCAGGGTTATTCAACTATATTCTTACGGGGGCCAGATCAAAAAAATAATACATTTTCCACATGATTATTCTTCGGAAGAACTGTATAAAAAAAAAAGCAACGCACACAAACCAATAAAGCACTTTTCTTAAAATGAAATGTTGCTAAAACCAATGTGAGTTGAGGTGCAACCAAAAAGGAAAAGACACAATGCTCACTCACCATTTCAACTATTTAAAGCTTGTGAAAAGCATTTCGAAATCATCTGAAAACTAAGCTTCTCAATAAATAAGACAAAGATATGTCAAATCAGGTAATGCCAAATTCCTGTCTGAAGGAATTAGGATTTTTTTTGTTGTCACACTCTCTTCTAACGAGTCCTTGCCAGAGAGGGAAACAGAAGTCAAGTAGGTGTTCCTGAGAGTCGTAGCTTTCAGGAATGGGGTCATAATATTTTGTAGCTTAAACCATTCAAACGCTACATAGGCGCTAGAAACAACGCTTGTCATTTTGGCACTGAACGTCGGATTTTGCCGTAGATTTTTTTTGCTGATCTTTTATTCATGTTCAGAATTGATCAAAGGGCCAGTCTAAATTTATAAACGAGGCCCGTGGGCCGCCAGATGAATAGCCCTGCTTAGCCAATAATTTTCTGAGAATCTGTTACACATGTTAATCTCTTAGGTACCTTAACCTATATAGGTTTTACCTGAGAGTATGTTATTTGTATAATCCCTCAGGTACATTATCCAAAGCTACCAGACTATCGGCGGTGGCTATGAAGGAGAGGAGCTCTGATGTCATAGAGGTGCGCCAGGCAGAGCAGCAGGACCAGCTGGAGGTGTTGAGGAACCAGCAGGTCCTCTCCTTCACAGAGCAGAGATGGATGGACCTACATGGTAAGAGATAGAATATCAGGCCTCAATATAATCTGGTTTGTGTGCCGTGCTTATATTGTTTAAAATATGAATTAAAGTTAATCTCAACTAGTCTCTTGTTACTGGCCAGTGGGTGCCAAGATTACATCTCAACAAACAGATATCAAGTTAATTTGGAGACAAATCCTTACTTGAGGAATGAGCACATTGCCTAAAACTTCTACACAAATCTCCCACCATTGAGTGATGTTATGTGCATGTATCTCTCCCTCTGAAGATGCGTTCTGCGTTTCTCCTCCCTTCAGGTGTGTTCCTGTACTCCCCAACACCCCAGAACGTGACCGTCATGTTCTCCTCTGGGGTGGGGGTGGAGGTACGGGGGCGAGAGGGGGGTACCATGGCCCTTACCGTGCTGCTCCCCTCAGACTACACCAACCTCACCCAGGGCTTGCTGGGACAGATGAACTCTGACCCCTTAGATGACCTCCTGACCAGCCTGGGAGATGTCGTCTTCCCTGACAACCCCAGCCCTGAGGAAATCTTCACCTTCGGAGCTGGCTGTGAGTCCCTGGGCCTCTGTCTGCATTGATACATAAAGTTCATCTTAGGGTTCCAAAATGCTGGTAAATTTTTATAAACTTATAGTGTTGAGTGATTAACCGAAATGTCGGTTGTTTTTTAAATAAGTAATTGACCGACGTCGGTTCAATTATTTAAATTCCATTTCTTTCCGATTTGTTCTGTGAGCTCAATGCGCAGTTTCCAGAGATAAATCAGATCAAGCCCAAACTGTGCGACGTGATAGGGAGTTGTAGTTTCCAACAGGCCAATATTCGACATTAGCTTAGCACAGAAAATGAGGTCATTATCTACAATGACCACTGGCAGACACGGAGAAGTAGAGAAGCGATAGAAGACGCGCGATCGAGAAAGATAGAGAGCAGTTGCTTCGCGAGGTATCTACATGAAAATACATGATCTAAGTGATTGATAGTTGATATTCAAAGTCATAAAAGTATGCCTTATTTACTTTGAAGAACTACTAAAATAGTGATTTAGTCAGACAGCATAGGCAGCAGCTCTATAGAGATGAGATGATGACTTGGAATGAAATAATAAAGTAATCAAATTAAATCAACTTAATATACACAACAACTGAAATATTTTATTAAAGTAATGTGAATAAATGATAGTTAATAAGTGATAAGCAGTAATGGGCAGTCACTGCCATCATGGGACTTTTGTTAATTGTTTTATTCTGTGTTGTTACAGCATTCAACCCACGTAATGCATAGTGTATTTAATAAAAAAAATTGTATGATCGAAGCCAAAATCAAAAACCAGGATAATTTTTTTCTGAATCAAACCTAAACCGAACCGACTTCAAAAAGCACTAATCGCTCAGCACTATAAACTTATCGTAATTTTGGATCCTATTACTTCTCAATAATCTAAGGCCCTTTTTAAAATTGTCTTAAAAATCTGTCCTCTCCTCGCTTCCTCTCCTTCATTGGACAGACAGGAACAAAAAGGTACCATGAAGGTAACATGTAAATTCACTGAAAAACATGTGTCCCTTAACCTTTGGTACATCTGGAAAAAACAAGTAAACAATGTTCTTTCTGTCCTTCACCTTAGGAGCTGTAAGTCCATGAAACACCTGGTCTTCTGTATTGACAGCAGGGGTTGAGGGGCCAGATTTACTGAACAGATTTACAAATGTTAATTCCTCCCTAAATAATGAAACATATGCAGTGTTAGGAAAAGGGATATAACACGTTTTGGCTTTTGTTTTTGTGTGTTTCATACTGAAAAAAAACTACAACCGGTGCACTTAACCTTTTGGTACATCTGGAATTCTAAACAACAATTCCTCAATTTCACTTTTCACTCTCTTTGAATGAGACATTCACAAGGAAGAGAATAGTGTGTGTTGTGTTGTGTACTACCCCCCCCCCCCCCTCCCTCCCGCAACCCAGCCAGCCAACCAGCTGTTTAGAGTTAAAGGGCTTCTAAAGGGCTTTAATAGATGACAGGTGTGTGTCTCAAATGGCACTCTATTCCCTATATAGTGTACTACTTTTGACTAGAGCCTTACGGGGTTCTTGGTAAAAGTAGTGCACTATGTAGGGGAATAGGGTGCCATTTGGGACGAAAACGGAGAGAGATCTTGGCCGAGCCATGACAACATGGTGTGAGACCAGAGAGCAGACCTCATGGCAGGAGACCAGTGGTGTCCTGGCCTGGCCAGCCTGACCCACAGGCACGCACCATGATAACATTACACACAACCAACAGAGATAAGGAGAAATGAACTGAGTTTTCCTCCAACTCTCAGCTGCTCAGATGCACTTCTCATGCACTTGCCCTTGGATCAGAATCTCTTGTTTCAGTGTCCCTGATAACACACTCAATGAGCCATCTGTGTTATAATAATATATTGATATCTAATATACAGTATAATATAGCATTACTGTGCATTTGGCTTTGCCCTGCCCACCTGAAGATCTGTCATTTTCAGCCATCTATTTCCTGTGTTCGAGGTGTGCAACAACATCCACTTGTTGTCACTTAAATCTTGCTGGATTGATGGCTTTAATTTTACTCCTGCGATAGTGGTGCGCGGGTCAGCTGTTTGTTCACCCGCACCCACCTGCAACTGCATATAACCCATCCGCAACTGTCTGACTATATGTGATGAAGTGAAAATCTGAGGCCCGCAACCGACCCAAACCGTTAATATAGAAAATGCGCTGTAGGCTACAGTCAGAGACGGCTGAAAGTTTTTTGGGATTTTTTAAACTTATTTACATATGTTTCCAACATTTTGGTAGGATATTTGTTAGTCCACTTGTCTATAATTAGATACATGCAGCTTCTCTTCTGTCATTATGTTGTCCTAGAAGACTAAATAAACCCTTGCTCACCAGAATAATAACATACATCAATAGAATGAATGTTTCAATATAGTTGACATTGGTGGTAAAGTTTTCTCTGTCATCTATGCTTCTTTCGTGGAGCAAATACATTTAGGTTACCGGGGAGAGAAAAAAAAATAAACAAATCTGTGCAAAATTTCCAATGGTATCAGTTTGTAAGGAAATAAAAAGCTGTAAAAACGACCCAACATGTTTCTGATAAGATTTCAGTTAGTAAAATAATGTTAGTGAAACTATGTTAGTGAAAGTATGTTAGTAAAACTGTTGGTGAACTACAGTACGTCTGTGATTGAATAAGAGTGAATGACCCTGCACCTGTGTACTATGTTGTTCAAAACAAGACTCCTTTGTAGTTAAAACCAAGTAAACACCAGGTGAATTTCCAAACTGACCCGCATACCATCATGGCCACCTAATCATCTTCCAATTGGCTCATTCATTTCCTTCCTTCTTCCCCTGTAACTATTCCCCAGGTCGTTGCTGTAAATGAGAATGTGTTCTTAATCAAATAACCTGGTCAAATAAAAAACATGTTCTGGGCCTGTATTCACAAAGAGTCTTAGAGTAGGAGTGCTCATCTAGGAGCCGTTTGGACTTTTAGATCATAATAAATACGATGACATGGACAGGAGGGACCTGATCCTAGATCAGTACTCCTACTCTGAGACACTTGATAAATATGGACCCACGTCCCCCTTGTCTTAATCAGTATAATCTTAAAGTTAAAACTGATCCTGGATCAGCTCTCTTTGTGAATATGGGCACAGGTGATGTTGTGTTGTCTTGTCCACAGGGAAAACCTCCAACGAGACATCTCTGTTCACCTACGACACTAAGTACCTGTTGGACACGTACTACTACGTGAAACACGACCCAACCTTCATCCCAGCCTTTTCTGTGTCCAGTGACCCAGCTGACCCTCTGGTGGAGGACATGCTGAAGATGTGCTTCGGTGAGGGGGTTCTCTATTTCTCTAAATATATATTTTAGGAGTGTTTATGTATTTTTATTGAGATAGGACAGTGAAGAGGAGACCGGAACGGTAGGAGAAATTGCCAGTCAGAAGGGCATGGGTCGGATACGAACCCATACCGACTCTGCACTCTTAGAAAAAAAGGTGCTATCTAGAACCTAAAATGGTTATTCGGCTGGCCGCATAGGAGAACCCTTTGAAGAACCCTTTTGGTTCCAGGTAGAACCCTTTTGGTTCCAGGTAGAACCCTTTTGGTTCCAAGTAAAACCCTTTTGGGTTCCATCTATATGGTGACATGTGGGATGCAACCAAAGTTTTAATGATATGACATTCGACAACATTCAATCCAGCAATAACATACAATAACACAATTAAATACAATTGTACATTATTTACGCAATCATTTATATAGGTGAGGGGGCTCAGTTCTGCAAGTACGACACCATGAGCACCCGTAGTCTGGTTGTGGGTAACGCCACCCTCCTGTCCTTCAGAAGTCACGAGACACTCATGCAAGACCTGGAGTCTGGTATGTATACAGTAGTCGCCTCTGTCGTTGAAATGAACTGTGAAATGGACGTTTATGGAGTTGGTTTGTCTACTCATTAACCCCAACACCTTAGACCACAGTGAAGTGAACGTAACCATATGTTCTTAATTGTTAACCTACTTCTTGAATGCCATGTGTAACCGGAACTTTATATGTGTGTGTTGACTAATGCAAGTTACAACACATTTTCCCCAAAGCATAAAAGAAGTGCAGAGTAAGATACAGTAGCTCCTCACGATGTATACTGTGCTGCTACAGCCCTTTCTGTACTTAACCACAGTGGATAGTATGGTTCTGTTTCATTACTTTCTACATGGGTTTATATTCCAGATCAGTGTTTCCCGACTCCGGTCCTTGAGTTGGCAACCAATCATTGAGCCCTTGACAAGTTGAATCAGGTGTTTTTGTCCCAGGCTACAACAAAAAATGTGTACTGTTGGATCGGAGCTGGGAAACAATGTTCTAGATAATGACCCTTTACATATTAGGAAGTTGTTTTGAATGGTTTGATCGGTAATCAATACTTTTATTAGTAGATAACATCCTTTTGTTTCTTAGTGGTGTCCTGTGGGTGGCTGGCCACGCCGAGGTACGGTGCGAAGATAGGTACACGCTACCTAGAGGGGGCGACAGTGAGCTTCACCTGTAACAGTGGCCACGTCCTGTATGGAGCCCCAGAACGCACCTGTCTACCCAGCGGAGAGTGGACTGGAGAGGAAACCTCCTGTGTCTCTGGTAGGTCCCTATAGTCCAGTAGATAAGTTTGAAAATGTTTCATTTTCATTTAGAAGCATGAAATTTGGCACACTTCTAATATGTGGTACTCGTAGGTCCATAGTCATAGGTTATATCACTGTCTGGCCATACTAGACAGCAGGATGGAAGTCCAATGCTTTCTAACCATACACATGTTCTAACTACCAAGCCTAACCTATCTGCCAGCTACTAAATGTGCCCTACAGCCACCCCAAAGGAGGGTAACATTAATTTTAACCTACCTCTCAATGGCCTATCTTAGTTATCTGGCCTAACTTGGTTTTGTGCAGTGATTGTCCTCAAATGAGAAACAGAGCGACTTTGAAAATCCCATTTAGCGTGACTCATTAGAAGCAGAGATTCCAGCAACCGTGGTTTGTGCTCTGAGCAAGTTGCCCAGACATTATTCAAAAAAAAAAAAAAAACATTATACCATTAGTCCATTAGAGCTGGAGCAATAGAGGCTTTGGGTTGGCCTCTCTCCCCTCATCCCCCTCTCTCTCTGTTTGTGAATGGGAACCACCTGTGTTTCCAGAATGGCTTGTTGCAGCCAGTAACAGAAAGAGTGCCTTGGCTGAGAGCAGTTCCACTGACTGAGAGTTTTGTTGTAGTGCTCTATCGTTGCTGGCAGATGGCAGTGTCTTCCTGGAGGAATCCCATTCTCTGTCTGGTGGAGAAGCAAGTTGTCCACTTGTCTCAGTCTCACCCCCCGAAGGTCACACAAAGCCCAGTCCCTCCATCTGCTCCCTACTCAGCCTAAACAGTCCTCTCATCCTCTTTTCATTAGTCGGCTAGCAGAGACTTCCTTCTGATAGCTATCTGATCATGCTGGATGTTGACGGATTTCATATCAGATCTGGACGAGGAAAAACTGACTCCCTGACTGGGTCACAGCTGGATAGAATAGAAACCAACCTGACTTCAACCCCTTCCCTGTTCTTGTGGCTGTAGTGTGTGCGTCCGAAATGGCACCCTATTTCCTATGTAGTTCACTACTTTGGCACCCTATTTCCTATGTAGTGCACTACTTTGGCACCCTATTCCCTCTGTAGTTCACTACTTTGGCACCCTATTCCCTCTGTAGTTCACTACTTTGGCACCCTATTCCCTCTGTAGTTCACTACTTTGGCACCCTATTCCCTCTTTAGTGCACTACTTTGGCACCCTATTCCCTCTGTAGTTGACTACTTTGGCACCCTATTCCCTCTGTAGTTGACTACTTTGGCGCCCTATTCCCTCTGTAATTCACTACTTTGGCACCCTATTCCCTCTGTAGTTCACTACTTTGGTGCCCTATTCCCTCTGTAGTTCACTACTTTCGCACCCTATTCCCTCTGTAGTGCACTACTTTGGCACCCTATTTCCTCTGTAGTTCACTACTTTGGCACCCTATTCCCTCTGTAGTTCACTACTTTGGCACCCTATTTCCTCTGTAGTTCACTACTTTGGCACCCTATTCCCTCTGTAGATCACTACTTTGGCTCACTGCGTCACAGCTGGATAGAATGGAACAGAAACTGACTTCACCTCCTCCCTGGTCAATGTGGTCCTATTAGTCTTACAATGATATTTCTCTGTCTTCATTTAGATGTATTATTATATTACACAAACATAATACAACAACAGGTGTTGTCATCAACTAGTGAAGTATACAGTAACAGTATACGTTGGTGATGTTTTTACTAGGGCCAGTAGTTTTTCCTGAGTTGCAGTAACTGGGGCCTTGAGTTTTTCCTGGTCATGCTACATAGTCATGGAAAAACTCCAGGCCTTAGTACATAACCTAACCATAACATGTGATCCTCTGTAGCTCAGCTGGTAGAGCACGGCGCTTGTAACGCCAAGGTAGTGGGTTCGAACCCCGGGACCACCCATACACAAAAAAATAAAAATAAATAAATGTATGCACGCATGACTGTAAGTCGCTTTGGATAAAAGCGTTGCTAAATGGCATATTATATATATTATTACATAACCATAAGTCAAGATAAACTTCGCTGTGGTCTACCAGTACACAATAAATGGGAGAGAACTCTTGGTAATCAGTCAGTAGTCTTATCATTCGCACTTGTTGCTGACAGAGACACTGAAACACACTGGGTCCCAATACGCTGGCTGGTGGTGAGAGAGGACCATTATAACTTTAACACTTACATGCTCTAACACACACACACACACACACACACACACACACACACACACACACACACACTAGTGATGCGTGGGTTGATTCATAACCCGCAGTCCCTGTAGGGTGCCAAATACACGCCAATTGCCAAATGCTTTTGGGAACTTTGGCAGAAAAAGTTAATGTCGATCCACTGAGGCAAAATTTTAGCATTTCTTGCAGTAGAATGATACACCAAATGTACATTTTGACTCGGGAAAAGGAGTGGAGAAATACGATTTCTTTATTTCAGCATCTGTAAAGGTGCTATCTTTATCAGCATCATAAAAGCGGATAGTATTTCAACCACATAAAATATGCATCCAAGCCAAACTGAAATCCTATCAGAAACATGTTGGGTCGTTTTAACAGCTTTTAATTTCCTTAAAACCGGTCAAACTGATGTCATTAAGAGTTATTGCATTTTCTCTCCGGTCCCTTAACATATTTTCTGCGAGAGAAGTAGATATGAAAGAGGAATGAAAACAGACTTTACCAATGTCAACTATATTGAAGCATTCATTCTATCGATGTATGTTATTATTCTGTTGAGCGAGGGTTTATTTAGTCTTCTAGGGCAACATATAAAGACAGAAGAGAAGCTGCATGTATCTAATTATAGACAAGTGGACTAACAAATATCCTACCAAAATGTTGGAAATTATAAGCAGAAACATAGGCCTATCTAAAAGCCCTGTCAAAAAGTACAGCGCATTTCTTATATTTGCAGGTTAGGGTCGGGTGAGGGCCTCAGATTTTTCACTTTGTCACATATAGTCGGGCGGTTTCCGATGGGTTCTAAGCAATTTTGGCTGGGTGCGGGTGAACAAACAGCTGACCCGTGCATCACTAACACACACACACACTCCAAACAGCCTACTGAAATGTCTTCCACTTATTTAGGGAATAGGTAGGGTGCCATTTGGGACACAATCATTTATTCATGTCCCATCCTATAGGACCCCTATCCGTGTACAATAAACACTCATCTCTGTTAACCCAGGGTAAAATCTTGCGTAATTTGGTCAGCTGCGTGATTTAACGTCTGGGTTCATACGTGTTAGACATTGAGAGTTCCGGCAAAAACTTAAGTCTCCACCCTCGCAAAAGGAAACTCTCAGCCAAAGCACAGGTGCGATGCACTCGAGGAGAAGCAGTTCAAGCACCTGTTGTTTAACGAAGCACGTGACAATAAACATTTTGATTTGATGTGACAGGAGAGGTGACACACAGTTCTCTCTGTCAAAGGAGATTATAGATTAACATTTCTTGTCACCAGAACTGGAGCTCTGCCTGTCCCTATGTGTACATGAACCTCGTCATGTACACATGCTGTATGAGCAGATCAGTGGAGGCTGATGGGAGGAGCTATAGGAGGACGGGCTCATTGTAATGGTTGAGATGGAATAAATGGAACGTAGTCAAACGTGTGGTTTCCATATGTTTGATGTGTTTGATACCGTTCCATGTATTCTATTCCAGCCATTACAATGAGCCCATCCTCCTACAGCTCCTCCCACCAGCCTCCACTGGAGCAGATACTGTTTGATATCTTTCATATATATATGGCCTCCCGAGTGGCACAGCGGTCTAAGGCACTGCATCACAGTGTTGCGGCGTCACTACAGCCTGGGGCTCCGTTGACCAGGAGTCCCATAGGGTGACGCACAATTGGCCCAGCGTCATCAGGGTTAGGGGAGGGTTTGGCTCATCTGGTGACTCCTTGTGGCGGGCCTGCAGGCTGACTTCGGTCGTCAGTTGAATGGTGTTTCCTCCGACACATTGGTGCAGCTGGCTTCCGGGTTAAGCGAGTGGGTGTTTCCCGAGCCCGTTGGGGAGTTGCAGCGATGAGACAAGATCATGATCACGAAATTGGGGAGAAAAGAAAACAGAAAATAACATTTAAAAAAATATGCACAATCTTTCATATACACTACCGGTTTATTTTTTACTATTTTCTACATCGTAGAATAATAGTGAAGACTTCAAAACTATGAAATAACACATCTTGTAGTAACCAAAAAAGTGTTAAACAAATCAAAATATATTTTATATTTGAGAATCTTCAAATAGCCACCCTTTGCACACTCTTGGCATTCTCTCAACCAGCTTCACCTGAAATGATTTTCCAACAGTCTTGAAGGAGTTCCCACATATGCTGAGCACTTGTTGGCTGCTTTTCCTTCACTCTGCGGTCCGATTCATCCCAAACCATCTCAATTTAGTTGAGGTCGGGGGATTGTGGAGGCCAGGTCATCTGATGCAGCACTCCATCACGCTCCTTCTTGGTAAAATAGCCCTTACACAGCCTGGAGGTGTGTTGGGTCATTGTCCTGTTGAAAAACAAATGATAGTCCGACTAAGCCCAAACCTGATTTGATGGCGTATCGCTGCAGAATGCTGTGGTAGCCATGCAGGTTAAGTGTGCCTTGAATTCTAAATATATCACAGACAGTGTCACCAGCAAAGCACCCCCACACCATAACACCTCCTCCTCCTCCATGCTTTACGGTGGGAAATACACATGCAGAGATCATCCGTTCACCCACACCGCGTTTCACAAAAACATAGCGGTTGGAACCAAAAATCTCCAATTTGGACTCCAGACCAAAGGACAAATTTCCACCAGTCTAATGTCCATTGCTCATGTTTCTTGGCCCAAGCAAGTCTCTTATTATTATTGGTGTCCTTTAGTAGTGGTTTCTTTGCAGCAATTCGACCATGAAGGCCTGATTCACACAGTCCCCTCTGTTACTTGAACTCTGTGAAGCATTTATTTGGGCTGCAATTTCTGAGGCTGGTAACTCTAATGAACGTATCCTCTGCGGCAGAGGTAACTCTGGGTCTTCCATTCCTGTGGCGGTCCTCATGAGAACCCGTTTCATCATAGCGCTTGATGGCTTTTGCGACTGCACTTGAAGAAACTTTCAAAGTTCTTAAAACGTTCCGTATTGACTGACCTTCATGTCTTAAAGTAATGATGGTCATTTCTCTTTGCTTATTTGAGCTGTTCTTACCATAATATGGACTTGGTCTTTTGCCAAATAGGGCTATCTTCTGTATACCCCCCCCCCCCCCCAACCTTGTCACAACACAACTGATTGGCTCAAACGCATTAAGAAGGAAAGAAATTCCACAAATTAAGTTTTAACAAGGCACACCTGTTAATTGAAATGAATTCCAGGTGACTACCTCATAAAGCTGGTTGAGAGAATGCCAGGAGTGTGCAAAGCTGTCATCAAGGTAAAGGGTGGCTATTTGAAGAATCTCAAATATAACATATATTTTGATTTGTTTAACACTTTTTTGGTTACTACATGATTCCATATGTGTTATTTCATAGTTTTGATGTCTTCACTATTATTCTACAATGTAGAAAATAGTAAAAATAAAGAAAAACCCTTGAATGAGTAGGTGTTCTAAAACTTTTGACCGTTAGTTTATTTTGAGCGTTTGCTCTAGCCTGCCTGGAGTGCCAGATGGGCGGGGTTTGCCGTTTTGGGAATTCTATTAGTTTCATAGCCACAGGCAAACTCAATAAACCACAGATAAAGTATTTGATATGATTGGAAATAGTATTTGAACCCGGTTCAGTGTATGAGAATGTACCTTTATCAGGGCCTAATGTATTATGATAATCCATTTTAATGTTCTTCGGCGTGGGAGACGAGAGTCACGCAGTGGAAGGGTGGAGAAAGTTTTGAAAAGAAAGAAAGAGAAAGTCCTTGGATGTGTTTTGATTTTCTTAACTTCAAAATGACTCGGGAGAAAGAATGAAGTTCAAGTTGTAGAATTGGGCTGGGTCGAGTCACGCTCAGAGGAGGAAAGGAGGAGAAAATGATTAAAGGCGAAATGACAGCAGCAGAGGAAAAGAGAGAGAGAGAGAGAAGGTGGCAGAGGAGATAAAACAATGAATTAAAGTGTCGCTCTGTTTATTTCCCTTTGGGAAAAGGGCACAGTGCACAAAGTGCGAGACAGGCGGCAGGTAGCTTAGTGGTTAAGAGCGCTGGGCCAGTAACCGAAAGGTCGCTGCTTCGAATCCCAGAGCCGGTTACAAATGAGCAAGGCACCTTAACTGCTCCTGTAACTCTCTCTGGATAAGAACGTCTGCTAAATGACTAAAATGGGGAGGGAGAGTAGGAGAGAGAGAGAGAATTGAAGAAGCAGGTTGTATAGAGGGGGAGAACTTGAAATGCCATCCTGTCCGAGACATTTAAACCTGTCATATCCCTGTGCACCACTGTCTCTGTGAGGGAGCCTTCCTGAATGAACAAGGTCCCTATCTGGGACTTCAGAGTAAACAATCTATCGTGATTAAAAACAGGCTCTCTATCTTCACTTATTTTCTATTTTTTTTCATATTATTTCTCAACTGCATCTCTCATTCTCTCTCGGTCACACAGACCTGAGGGAGGAAGCTTGTGTGCTGGATCAGAGCAGAGACGAGAAATCAGCCTGTGTGTACACACACACACACACACACACACACACACACACACACACACACACACCATTTCCATATTACAGGGGGAGGTATTATTTATACTTAGTCATATTTATTTCCAGTATTCCTCCTCAGATTTTGACAGTCAAGTCCTCCTCCCATATCTAAAGTGCTCTGAACTCATAATAATCCCACAATGGAGGAAGCTCATGAACTCAGTCACAGCTACAGAAACAATCTCCTATTTAGAGATGCAGTTTAGATACAAGAGCAATCCCTTCTATATATACAGTATGAAACAGTGAAGACGTGGTGTGCTTGTGATAGCTTGTAAACAACACAAACTGCGTACTGTGCTTTTCACATTAGATATTTGTCAGGCACACGGTGACCCAAAGGACATTCCCTGAGCTTTAGCTAAAATGGCAGTTCATCATCCTCGACACGTAACCTCTGTTCATCATCCTCGACACGTAACCTCTGTTCATCATCCTCTACACCAGGGGTGTCAAACGTCCGGCCCGCGGGCCGGATCAGGCCCGCAAACAGGTTTAATCCGGCCCGCGAGATGATTTTGTAAAGTATAAAAATGAGCTGCAATTTTTCAATAAAATAAACTGCTGTTCCAATTGTGTCCACTGGATGGTGCAATAGCAATTGTGTTAAGCAAGCAAACTGTTTATACCGGGGCAGAGCAAATAGGTCAAGCAAGTGCAGCCAGTCCGGATGAGCTACTTTGTTTTGCCCGCGATATTTATTACGGCTTCTACTTTTAACATTATGTGCGTTGGCACCCTCATTGCCCCAATATTTCTCTGTCAAAAAAGAGAAAAGTGGACGCAGAGTGCAGAGTGTTCCAAGAAAAATTGTCATCCTTCTATTTATTCACGGAATTGAATGGGAAAGCTGTATGTTTGGTGTGTTCACAGCATGTTGCAGTGCTGAAAGAATATAACCTTCGTCGCCACTATGTGAGTCTTCATGCCGACAAATATGACAACTTTCAAGGACAGCGGAGAAGAGAGAAGGTGAATGAACTGTTGGTGGGTCTGAAGAAACAGCAGTCTGTGTTTACTCACAGCCGAGACATCAGTGACGCTGCAGTGAAAGCTAGCTACCTCATTGCTAATGAAATCGCAGTGGCTTCAAAACCATTTAGTGAGGGTGAATTTGTAAAAACATGCATGATGAAGGCAGCAGAGACTGTGTGCCCTGAAAAGCACCAGGCTTTTGCAAATATCAGCCTGACAAGAAACACAGTTGCAGACAGGATTTCCGATCTTTCAGTGGATTTGGACAGCAAGTTGAAGCAAAAAGTAAATTGCGTTTTCGGTTGCAATTGATGAAAGCACGGACATTACAGATGTTGCACAACTGGCCATTTTCATCCGCGGAGTTGATGACACATTGACCATCACCGAGGAGTTCGTGGAGTTGGTGCCGATGACAGATACAACGACAGCAGCTGATATTTTCACTGCACTCGTCGGCGCGCTGGACAAGGTCGGAGTGGACTGGTCCCGCGCTGTCAGCCTGGCTACAGATGGTGCGCCCTCAATTATCGGGAAAAAAGCAGGCGTTGTGACAAAGTTCAGAGAGAAAGTGCAATCTGCAAATGGAGGACGTGATTTTTGGACTTTTCACTGTATTTTGCACCAGGAGGCTTTGTGTTGCAAGTCATTAAAGATGGATAACGTCATGAAGGTGGTCATCCAAACTGTTGATTTCATCCGATCCAGAAGCCTGAATCACCATCAGTTTGACAGCCTTCTCCGAGAGAAAGACCACATCTATGGCCTGCCATACCACACTGAGGTAAGATGGTTAAGCCGAGGTGCTGTGCTGAGGCGTTTACGAGAAGAAATTGAACAGTTCATGGAAGAAAAGGGCAAACCAGTGTTAGAATTTAATTCCGCAGAATGGATGCAGGACCTTGCATTTATGGTGGATGTTACAGAGCACCTGAATAACTTGAACAAACAGCTGCAAGGGCGCAACAAAGTTGCCACGCAGTATTATGATAGTATTATGACAGCATTATGACAGCATACTCCTGAGTGGTGCAGTGGTCTAAGGCACTGCATCGCAGTGCTAACTGTGCCACTAGAGATCCTGGTTCGAATCCAGGCTCTGTCGCAGCCGGCCGCGACCGGGAGACTCATGGGCGGCGCACAATTGGTCCAGCGTCGTCCAGGGTAGGGGAGGGAATGGCCGGCAGGGATGTAGCTCAGTTGGTAGAGCATGGCGTTTGCAACGCCAGGGTTGTGGGTTTGATTCCCACGGGGGGCCAGTATAAAAAAAATATATATGTATTCACTAACTGTAAGTCGCTCTGGATAAGAGCGTCTGCTAAATGACTAAAATGTAAATGTAAAATACGTTCTTTCAAGTTGAAGCTGTCATTGTGGGAGACGCAACTCGCCGGTGGTGATGCAGCTCACTTCCCCTGTCTGAAAAATGTGTGCGCGACCCAACATGTGGCAGACATGAAGCGGTTCAAAGATAAAATAACGGGACTGTTAAGGGAGTTTGAGCAACGCTTTCAGATTTTTGGTGAACTGGAGAAAGACTTCAACGTTTTTTGTTCGCCATTCACCGTGAATCCCTCTGATCTGCCCGTCAGCATCCAACTTGAAATAATAGACTTGCAGTGTGATTCGGATTTGAAGGGCAAATTTGCCGCAGCTGGCTTGGACACATTTTATCAGAATCTCTTGCCAGGTTACCCTAACTTGACAGCCCTCGCTGCAAAACGGTTGTGCATGTTTGGAACCACATATCTTTGTGAGCAAGTTCTCTGTAATGAGCATAAATAAAACAAAGCTGCGCTCAAGGCTCACGCACAAGCACTTGAATCACATCCTGAAGTTGGCTGCCACTCAGGATGTGACGCCTGATATTGATGCGCTGGTGAAAGCTAAAAGATGCCAGGTATCAGGAGTCAAATAAACTATGCAACCCCACTTAAAGTGCTGCATGAGACACCCTGATATAGTTCTGTGATCTGTGATATACTTCTGTGAATCAATGAGGCATTGTGTGTTGTTTGTCCTCAGAATTTCAAATAACTTGAGGTGTTTTATGATTAATAGTGATGTTGTGCTTTTGGACACACTGTCCTCAGGCTCCAGCTTTATGTTTATATGTTTTTATGTTGATGTGCTATTGTTTTTAATTGATTTTATTTTATTTGTATATTTAACCTATTCTTGACTCTGTGGTTCTTGCACTTGTTTGGGGAACAGGATTTCATTATTTGTATCTACATTTCTGCCTGAGAAATGACACCCTGATATAGTTCTGTGATCTGTGAAACAGTTATGTGAATCACTGAGGCATTGTGTGTTTGTGTGTTTTTTCTTTAGAATTTTCAAATAAACTTGAGGTGTTTTATGATTAATAGAGATGTTGTGCTTGTACTATTTTGGACACACTGTCCTCAGGCTCCAGCTTTATGTTTTATGTTGATAGTATTAAAACAAAGAAAACAATCTGAAGTTGTTGTTTTTAAGTTATATATACCATGATTTTACCGGTCCGGCCCACTTGGGAATAGATTTTCCTCCATGTGGCCCCTGAGCTAAAATGAGTTTGACACCCCTGCTCTACACGTAACCTCTGTTCATCATCCTCTACACGTAATCTCTGTTCATCATCCTCGACACGTAACCTCTGTTCATCATCCTCGACACGTAACCTCTTTATCATTCTCGACAGGTAACCTCTGCAAAACACTGCCATAGGTCATGTGTCCATCAGGGGAATGTGTGAAAGATAGAATCACAGTGCTCCTTATCTCCTTGGGAGGGAGAGAGGGACAGTGTGGAATAGGGAGAGAGTGTCCTAAGAAGGGTGGAGGAGGGAGAGAGACAGAAGGAGAGAGAGAGAGAATGTGTGGGTGGGACAGTGGTGGTAAAGGAAGAGTTCTAGAGGTACTGCAGCATCCTAAAGAAACACCTTCTGAAATCCCCTGACCTCCATGTGATTATGTTTTCCTTTCTCCTTATTGACACAAACTGTGTGGGGAAACGGAGCGTGTAGAAAGACGCTGCACACTTGAAGGTCACTCTCCTTGACTTTAAAGCAGCGTAATGGAAAAATAGAATGGCTGTGGTTCCGTCCCAAAAGGCACCCTATTCCCTATTTAGTGCACTACTTTTAAGGAGGGGCCAATAGGGCTCTGGTCAAGCGTAGTGCACTATATAGGGAATAGGGTGCCATTTGGGATGTACACAGATTGTCTGTGACAAGGTTCCTTTGATCTCTGTTCCACTGATTCAGTTGACTGTAATGTTATGTGGGTTTAACTCTCAGCCTCTCAGGCTTCCACCTTTATCAGCAAGTACTGGCCTTCTAAGAGCCCTCATACAGACTAGCTAGCTGTAAACAACGGCTTAATAGCACTATCACTTTCTGTGTGTGTCTGTGTGTGTGTGTGTGTGTGTGTGTGTGTGTGTTGAATGTCCTGTACCCCAAACACACGCATGTGTTTGAAAGACAGCAAGTAAGAGAAAGTGTAAAGTACAAAAGTCACAATTGTAAAAGTAATCAAATAGAGGATGGGTGGTATGATCTCTAATAGAGGATGGGTGATATGATATCTAATAGAGGATGGGTGATATGATCTCAAATAGAGGATGGGTGATATGATCTCAAATAGAGGATGGGTGATATGATATCTAATAGAGGATGGGTGATATGATCTCTAATAGAGGTTGGGTGATATGATATCTAATAGAGGATGGGTGATATGATCTCTAATAGAGGTTGGGTGATATGATATCTAATAGAGGATGGGTGATATGATATCTAATAGAGGATGGGTGATATGATATCTAATAGAGGATGGGTGATATGATATCTAATAGAGGATGGGTGATATGATCTCTAATAGAGGATGGGTGATATGATCTCTAATAGAGGATGGGTGATATGATCTCTAATAGAGGATGGGTGATATGATCTCTAATAGAGGATGGGTGATATGATCTCTAATAGAGGATGGGTGATATGATCTCTAATAGAGGATGGGTGATATGATATCTAATAGAGGATGGGTGATATGATATCTGCCTGAGGCACTGAACCAGGATCAGAGGAATGTTAGACCAGTCTCCCTGGGCCCCTAGCCTCCAGGCCCACAGGCAGGTATTTTATCTGGACCGCCT